TCATCATCATCAGCAGCAGCAGCTGTGCTTTCGGCGCGTGGCGTTGTAGATTATACTCCAGTACACGACGAAAAGCTGCCCGCAAGCGCGCTACTGATCGGTTTTCAGTTGCTTGTCATTGGCCGCTTTGGGCCATCTATGCCAGGCGCGTCACCGTTCCATACAACATACAGGTCGCCAGCCTTATCTCAACCATCACGACAAAACGGTCCTTTTCAGGACCACCATACATTTTTTAAAGAGTACTTTTTGGACCCTTCTCGCGTTAACTTTCAAATAGATTAATTGATTGACAGTGATCGATGCTCTTCATCGACTCTCTCTTTTATTGCCTCGGCTCCAAGCTTCCGTTAAGTTGAAAGTTAAATTGCTTATGCTCAGGGTAGTCTTTTCGTAGTTCAGGGAAGGCCTGCCGAACTTCAGCGAAGTCCTGATGAAGTTCAGGGAAGCCCTGCCGAAAGTTCTTCCGAAGTTCAGTAAAGTCCTTCCCAAGTTCAGGGAAGTCTTGCCGAAGTTCAGTAAAGTCCTGCTGAAGTTCAGGACAGAAAAAGTTCAGGGAATTCTTGCCAAAGTTCAGCGAAGTCCTGCCGAAGTTCAAAGAAGTTCTGCCGAAGTTCATGGAAGTTCTGCCACAGTTCAGGGAAGTTCAGTGGAAGGTTATGGAATTATCTAATAATCTTTAAAAATACCCAGATATATCAGAATACCTTCATTAAAAAGGCTGAAATTTTAACAGAACATCATGAATACTTGTGAAACAATTTGTGAAAATCGAGGATCATTTTTTTTTCTTTGATTTGTTTTCCGTCGATCATGCTTTCGATGCCAGAGGGGCAGCTTCCATACCTGGATCCTTCCTATCGACCCATCAACTCATGAACCAGGGACCAACGGCTTTAATTCCCTTCCGAAGGAAGGCATGATCAGAGATGTTTTGCCTCAGAACATCCCAGTGGCGTCAACTGGGATTGAACTCAGGCCTGCTGGGGTGAGAGGTGATCACGCTTACCACTACACAACCGGTGCCAGTCAGGATCAATTTGATTTAAACAGTATTTTATTTAGCAATGGGTGGGTGATTTCATAAATAGTATAATTTTTCTAATTATCTTTTAAAATATCTGGATTCATCAGAATACCTTCAATAAAAAGGTTGAATTTTTTACAAAATATACTCAAATACTTGTGAAACAACTTTTCAAATTTGAGGATCAAATTGGTTTAAAAAAATATTTCATTTATTAATGGCCAAGGAGGATGATTCTACAATATTTGAAGATATAGTTCAATTTATCTAATTATCTTTAAAATACTAAGATATATCTGAATACCTTCATCAAATAGCCTGAAATTTTCGCAGAATATTCTCAAATACTTGTGAAACAACATGTGAAAATTGAGGAACCTTTTGATTTAAAAAAAATATTTCATGCAGCAATGCCAAAGGAGGGTGATTTCTAAAATAGTTCAATGTATCCAGATATATCAGAAAACCTCCATCAAAGAGAATCCTTAAATTAGCTTACGCATACGCACACTTGAATTGTTTTTTTATTATTTCACAAACACACGCGTTTCCAACATGAAATACTTTCAATTTAGAAATATTTTTACTATTTACTCTCAAGCGCTTTCATAAAGGAGTTCTTTCGATAACGCATAGATGATATTGCCGAATAATTATTACATCCGTTTTCAATTATCGATCATTTTCGCAAAATATTTCGAATTGAAATGCTAAAAGATATCTTACGCGTGAGCTTGATCATACTCTCAGTGATGATGGTTTTTCTCGCTAATTCATTCATGGATCGCCCCGTCGTGTGGCTTTTTCTTCGCTTCTCTGTTTTGTGTGAGCGTTTCAAATCACATTGTTCTTCAACCTGGATACGCACAGATATATGCAAAAGCCAGTTGATTGCTGAGGAAAACGAAATCTAATGCTTGGAATTGCGTTACAAAAAAATTGGTTGGCATTTTGCATATTATTACTAATACATAATTCATTTCCGCACCGCTATCATCTCCAAGAACATCGAGGAAAAAATTCAACAGCATTTTTCTAAAGTGGTTCCAAGCTTCCAACCCATCGGTCCTGTCAGGACCACAAATGCCTGATAAAATAGTTAACTAAAGATATCAAGTAAGAGTTTGTATTCAAGACATATCGTCCAGGACACCGATAAAGCACCTCAAAAACAGAAATCTATTTTGTTTCAAATTTCAACCAATCGATTTTTTTTTACTGATAACGAGTTAATAAATCAATTTAATATTTAATTTATTTTAACGGTCGCGCCTTAGGTACAACCTCTTACTATTTTTTTTGTGAATAATTTGGTTCGAACGTAAATGAGAACATGGGTGAATTTTTTGTGGAATTGCACTCAATTCTGTTTCTACGCGATTTTAATCTTATCGATTTTGCCCTCATGCAGGATGGGTAGGAGGAAAAAATGCGATCGAGCATTGGAAATTAAAACTTCGAATACCTAAGGTCAGCAGCCCCGGGCCCCCCGGATCCTGTCACTGAATGTAGAGCATATCAATGCACAGTGGTCCAGAATGCAGATTTAGCTGGAATGATATGTTTTGAGCCTGAAATTGAAACTTTAGACTAAAAGTCTCTTCTACAAAGTTGTTCCTTATAGTTAGGCCCTCATTTTTATGACAATGAATTCTAGGGTGGTTCCTATTATCATTAAAATCAAAAATCTAACTTTTTTGTTTGAATAAATTAATGTATACATTCTTCGGCAAAGTTATAGCTGAGCTAATTTCAAGCAACTTTGTTGAAAATAACTTTTTTGTATCTCTTAAATTGGCCGATTAAGAGCTATTTTCTTGAATTGAGTTAGGGTGACTCTTAAAAAACAGTTTTTTTGCTCTATTTTTCTTATTTCGAATTTCTCAGCAAATGTGTCTTCAGATAACTTTTAGATATTAAAAAGGCGCAAATTTTTGCTGCACAAAGCTTGTCAATATCTTTCGCCGATCAAGAGTTATTGACGTTTGTATACTAAAAATATGCGTTTTTCAAATGGTAATATCTCTGGTTGGGGCAAACAAAAAAAAAAGTTTATTGGCAGCATTTGAAAGAACGTATGTTATTCTCAATAATATGAAAAAATTGGAGGTATGTTATTTTTTAAACTCGTATAAAATCAATTTGTATTAATTCATATTTTTTACTATATTTGAGTATATCTTTTTTATTAGAAGAGATACAGGCAACAAATTCAGCAATAAAACATTCGTCTTAAAGAGTTTTAAAAGCCTCTAAAAGATGACTTTCATGATAAATTTCAAATAAAAAAGTTATTGGCAAAAGATGGATTTCATAGGACCACTTTTTGCGCCTTTTTAATATCTAAAAGTTATCTGAAGACACCTTTGCTGAGAAATTCGAAATAAGAAAAATAGAGCAAAAAAACTGTTTTTTTAAGAGCCACCCTAACTCAATTCAAGAATATAGCTCTAAATCGGCCAATTTAAGAGATACAAAAAAGTTATTTTCAACAAAGTTGCTTGAAATTAGCTCAGCTATATTTACCTTAATACCTTAATTTATTCAAACAAAAAAGTTAGATTTTTGATTTTAATGATAATAGGAACCACCCTAGAATTCATTGTCATAAAAATGAGGGCCTAACTATAAGGAACAACTTTGTAGAAGAGACTTTTAGTCTAAAGTTTCAATTTCAGGCTCAAAACATATCATTCCAGCTAAATCTGCATTCTGTACCACTGTGCAATGTAACGTACTTACTAAATCAGTGTTGATGAATGCATATTTTAGTGATCGTCCAAAAGTTTCATAAGATGTCCAATAAATTTTAACCATTAATTTTATCAGTTGACCCGAATAAAATTGAACATTTTATGTTATGGTCAAACATAACCACAACCAGAACACCAATGCACAGTGCCCCATTAAAGGAAAACTCGCATTCCGATTCTGAATAGCGATGGAATGGGTCTTAACCCATATCCACTCGATGCATATACACATGTCTATTGCGGTTTGCCGCTCACAGTGCTCACGGCCGATGAGATTGACTCAAAATTGATAGGTTTTTTACTCAAAATCTCAAAAAACGTAGATGAAGATTTACTCAAATATGACGAAAGTGACATTTGTGTGACACTTCTCTTGATTTTCCAACTTTTCGAAAACGTGGAAAACCGAGAAAAGTTTTATTCAGTCTACGATTTGATAGATATGTTTTTTGTGAATTTGAGTGAACGAGTTGGTTTAATCGGCCCTGCACATGATCGGTAAAAAAAAGGAAAACCTTTAACACTTCACAAGACATCAAAACAAGTCTGAACTGCTGTTTTGGTCTGGCAAACGAGAAAAATATTTCCCGGTTCGTGGAAAAATGCAACACTCGCGTGTGGGACCCGACCTAGATATTTTCCGTTGCTTTTCACTTGCCTCGCGGTGCAAACAAACCCAAGTGGGATTGCAGGGGAAAGAACGGACTTTTTCTATATGTGTACTAGCTAAAGGGTAGGCACGTGGGAAAAAGGAAGCTTAAATGCACGGCACATAATTCATCCTGAAAGTTGGTATGAAGGAAAACTAAGAGCGAAAAAAATACACTTGAATGTTAATTAATGTAATTTACGTTGTTGATTTCGGCCAACAGCGAATGCTATGATATATGCTGCCCAGTGGATTATAGTGATGGAGAAAAGTGTTGCCCCGATCTACGGAGAAGGAAAAAACGCGGAACTCGTTGAAGCCTGCTGCTCCCGCTGGGAAACGACTAGACATGTGGGTTATTTATGGTTTCCTGTCTGGTCGACTCTTTTTGGTCAGAACATTTTCACTCGATAGCTTTCAGTGGGTGAATGTCGATTCCGATTGCCGTGATGGACACTGCGATGCAGTTAAAGGGTGGCATTTAAGCTCACGGAAATGAACAAACTGATGTGGATTGAAAATTAAGTTTGGAAGGATATTAATTCGAAATTGTTTTCTCTTTTTATTTCAGACGTTGGAGAACACGTAAAGGACGCAATGAAAAATGTGACCAGTGAAATCGAAGGAGTGTTGGGTGGTAAAACGGCAAGCAAAGATACCAGCGATCACATAAACGAAAGCGATCTTCCTCAAATGAACGGTCACGATCAGGACGATTCGGATTATCAAATCATTCCCTTGAAAGACACAAAGCAATCCAGTGTTGACGAGAGCCTGGAAAATATCAAGAACAGTCTGCTGAAAAAGGCACAAAGTTTCGGCGATGACACGGAAAAAATGGCCGACGACATCATCAAGGAAACGGAAGACCTAATCCGGGACGCCGAAACGGGCATTGAAGATCACGGCAACGATATGACCACCCGCATCACTTCCACCGCAGACGGCACAATCGAAATACTTAACTTAGAAGGTAATCACACACCCACCAGCACCCCGACTCACTCAATTGATAGCTTAAAAACCTCTTCACCAGAACCGGAAATCGAACGGATATTGGACAACGATCCGAAATGCCCTCCCTCGCCGGAAGCCACGATGAACAGCCTAATGTCCTCGTCGGAAGGGGCTGCTGCCGAGTCCGAAGCCGTCGATTCCGCTGCAACCGTCGTCGAAGGGCAACCGCAGCAGGCCCATGACGAAAGCAAGCGAGAAGCGTGAGTACGACACTGATGCAATCCAAGGCATCGCACGCACAACCACCCTATTTCTCCCTATTCCTTCATCATCTGGTAGCGGAATGCAACTTTAACTCCACGACATCAGAATTGCAGCAATTTTTGTACAAATTTGAATAGTAGGTACTTTTTAGGTTGGTAGCAATAAATATTTTTAAATCACTGAACCTAGCAGATTGCCTAAGCAGTTATGTGTACATACAAAATAAAGCATTAAAAGTTTAGTTCCCTTATTTCAGTGCTAACATAATGACCAGGAAACTGTTGATATGAAGGTCATGCAATGTTTTGTACATAAGAATGAAATAATTTAAAATAAACCGTATCTGAATGTTGTGTTTCAGCTGTAAAAAAAAATCATTCCGAGGAGAAATCACATCCTTGCACACATGTTTTCCAGTAGATCACTCTTTCACCTTTAAACATAAATAAATTTTTCGAACAGTCGGATTATGATGACAAATAATTTGTATCCTCTCAATTTCAATAATCATTTCATAATCATTTCCTGCCAAATTCCATCCAGGGTTCAAGAGCAAATATGGGAGCGAAATTATATGCAGAAATAGATACAGCTTATATGAGAGCACTGAACAATATAATCACCTAAAATTAAGCCGTCTTTCAAACTGGCATATTGTCATTATTTACTAGTTATTTTATTTCTGAAAAATTGGCATTCAAGAGTTCGTTTATTATGATATCCCGAGCAAGATCCGATAACCGACCGATAACATATGAATATCTTAGCGTGGTATGATGCCTTATTTTGGTATGTTTGTGGTATAAACCTTTTTTTTTCATTTCGTTTATTTGGCAGGCTCATATGTTATAAAAATAACTTAGCGGAGCCGAGTAAACATAGAATACCAATTATGGTACTCAAAATACAAAAAAAAATATATAAATACAAATATATTTTATCAAATGATTTTTCTGGGTGGCGATCGAAGCGGCGACAAAGCGATCTTCTCCCGTGCACGCAACTTCTTTCTTTCCCGAATTTGTTCCTCATTTTCATTGAAACCGAATCGTGATCGCTGCTGCTGTTTCTGAACATCGTTTCCCGTTGCATGCTCTCCGCTACTCTCGTCGGTCGTCGGGGTAGTCACGTCCATTTCGTTATCTTCATTCAACATCTCCAACCCCGTGTCCGTTTCCTGGTTGCTAATGACAAACGACGCACCTTCCACCACTACACCAGCATACGTACTGCTGCTGTTTTGTTTTCTTTCACTTTGCTTTCCTTTTTCCTTCAGTTGCTTCTCCGGTTCCTTCCGAGCCTTCCGCTTGGGACAGGAAAGCTTCCGGTGTCCGTCCGCCTTGCACAGAAAACATTTATCTTTGTTGCCATCATAAAAAATATTTCCTTTGCGATTGAAGAAATGTAATGACGTGGGGATTTCCTTCTTCACATCCATATATACACCGCGTATCCCTGTATATACCTCAAAACACAGATCAGTTGGAAATTTCTCCCGGATGATGCGTTTAATTTTCCCATATTTCCCCAGCACTTTATCCAGCTCGTTATCGGGTACCTCTGGCAAGTCATACACACGTACATATTGAATGAATTCACCAGCGTGCGACATGCGTACCTTTGCCGTCGTTCCATTCGCATAATGGAAGATTAAATCCTCCGAATTGAATGTCAGAGCATGGAGCATCGCTTCCTCTGATTTGAACTTCATGAAGACTCCCCTTTCCTCACCAATGCGATAAACATTTGCTTCCATTTCAGCCGGATCCGTCGAGTGCTTTGGCGAAATTTACTATCTCTCCGATGTTTGGTTTGGCATCACAATGGCTGAAGCTAAACTTGATGGTGTTTTTTACTTCACACATCTTGCACCGTAGCAACAAAAGGCACCGAACTGCTAGCAAGGAACAAAGAGCAACTATATAATAGCGAGTCTCGAAAACAGGCTATCGTGTGGTTCACAACGAAATAAAAAATCGACTGCTGCTGTAGACAGCTGTGAGACAACTATGGTATAAACCTTGTTTTACCATTATTCAGATAGACATATTTTGTAAAATATCAAATAAACACCAAAATATCAAAATGTGATCTTTCAGTTTTTAGACAATAAACGCTAACCCGAGCAGAAAAAATAACTTATTAACACCAAATTCAAGTATGAAAATAGCATAACTGGAAACCTAAATATGGTGTTAGTGAGGCTGACATAAGAGGTAAAATACCAAAAATAATACCTCAAAAATATTCTACGCATAACGAACTAATAAAAAGTTTAGTCATTACAATAACAAACGGATAAAAGACGCTCTTTTAGATACCAGAATACCATAGTTTGTTATTTTGAAGGTCTTCCAATACCAATTCAATAACTTTTTAGGTGTTTTTGTCTAAAAACTGAAAGATCACATTTTGTTATTTTGGTATTCATTTGATATTTTACAAAATATTTCAGTAACTGAATACTATCAAAACAAGGTTTTATACCACAAGCATACCCAAATCTGGTATCATACCACATTAAGATATTCGTTTGTCATCGATTAGCCATCGGTTCTTGCTCGGTAATAGAGGAAGTGCGGGTAAGCCTATCACTTTAGGCAAATCCGGCACCCCATCACTTTTACGAGAAATCAGTATAAATGCAACTAAACAAACACAGGGCATTATTCAATTGATTATTTTGAACATTATGAGACACATGGGTCCATAATGAACTGTTAAATGCTAAGAAAATAAACAAAACATACCCCGCCGTTATAGTTGAAACGTTCCTTAAACCTGACCGTAACGTTAAGAGAGAAGCAAATTAGAAGCGTTGCCATCATTGTTCATAGATGTATCAAACATCAAGTTTTTGAAATTTTGGGAGTTTCTGGCGAAATAAAATTGGGACAACTTACGTTAACAGCTGCCTATTTGCCATTTCAATGCGTGAGCCAGTAAAAGAATTTTCTTAAGGGTGACCTTCAGAAACTTACCCGTCATAGATCTAAATTCTTCTTTATTGGTGATTTCTTTGTAAAACACCGTTCGTGGAATAATGCTCAAATAAATTCCAAAGGTGTTTGATGATTGTTCTGCAGGTTATTACACTATTCAATATCCAAATACCCCAACATGCAAGAAATCCCTCTACTATCCATTTGGTCGTAGCTGATTCATGCCAACTTTGTAGCCATCAAAGGTAAGGGAGCAGATGAGTGTGCTGGTCCTGGTCGAAAGATTATATAAGATTACCTTTGTATGGGACCCTTCACATTGTTCATCCCAGGCAATGAGAAGGCGGACTCTCTCGCAAAGGTGGGCGCGCAGGAAGGCGACAGGCCAATTTCACACGATGAATTTTATCATTTAGTGCGTCAGATCGAGTTGGCAAACCGATTGGGACACTGTAAATCTTGGACGGTAGTTACATTCAATTATTCCTACACGCAAACCAAAAATCTATTACAATGAATGTTAGTTCCGTTTCCTATCATCCTCTGTTCATGAACATCACAACGAATTTTATAGCGAATTCGTTTATTATTCAGTTCCAACCTGGATCGGGTATCAAGATTGGGTCTGCTTGTTTTCTGACAAACGTCAGTTTGCTCGTTTGTTTTTAAAACCAAGCCCAGGTTGAGGTTCACACTGACAAAAAGTTCGGTTTCGCACTGGGTTGGAACTGGTGTTAACCCCGATAATAAACGAATTCGCTATTAGAAATTGACCATGAAGGCGATGTAATGGTAAGCTTGTAGAACGACGCGCATTGTAGAATATTGTAGAACGACGCACACACTTGCCTCGAATCTCTCCAGCAGAAAAAGCATACGAAGTCGAGTATGCGAGAAAATGAGCGCTTCATGTTTGCTTTTAGGCTATCCATATTCAGAAGCATAACTAATTTACCTCACTAATACACTCTACATTTTTCGGTCTCCAATTTTCTTGCATTGGACCGCAGCTAGGTATATTGCATCCTCGGTTCATGCGGTCTCCACTAACATCCACTGATGATGAATCCCACATAATTGTAAGCGAATCTTACATCCCCCCTGGTTGGGTGTATACTAGACTGATGCAAAATTTGACTTTTTCGCTCCACAGTGCTTAAATGGTTTCAAATCGGATCCTGATTAGCCTCCCAAAGTTACAACTCATTTGGTTAGAAACAGACTTCGCACAAGCCATTTGAAGTTTACATGTAAATTACCATGGGAAATCTCAACTTTTTGTTCATTGCCTTCTAGTCTTTTTCCATATTGAGCTGCGAAACAGTTCGACACCCATTCTTATAGAAAATTTTCTCAGCTACAACTTTGCTGAAAACCGTTTCTATGTAAAATGAGACAGGAAAAAGTTATTAATTATTTAAGAGATTGGTAAACTTATGACATGATCAAGCAGCTGCTCTGTAGGCAACACCAGGGATGGAAAATCATTAACATTCATTCCGTGCATTCATTTACATTCATATGCCTCTAACTTTTTTCATCAACAGAATTCCATAAAATAGCGTTTGAAGGTTTTGTAGGTTTTGATATTAGCTACATCTTTTGTAAACAACTCAAATCTTTATCTCTTATGCATGATGAATCAGAGCGATAGGAACCCACCATTGTTTTTCAGTGAATGTAAATTGCATTCACTGAAAAACAATAACATGTTCTGCCAGCTCTATTTCGTTAAGCATAAGAGATACAAATTATAGTTATCAACAAAAGTTGTAGTTCATATCAAAAACTACAAAAGTTTCATACATAATTTTACGCTATTCTGTTGATGAAAAAAGTTAGAGGCAAATGAATGTAAATGAATGCACGAAATGAATGTAAATGATTTTCCATCCCTGGGCAACACTGTATTTTGCAGTGTGACATAGTACACACTAATCGAGTCAGTATGGTTTTACCGAGTTTTTGAATTGCGGAACTGTTCGGTAAAAGTTTAAAAATCTGTGGAAAATTTATTTATGAGAAAATTTGTTCTGAACTTATACACACTTAGTTCTGTTAACCCCATTTAATGATAGAAAATAAAATTGATCGATTTCATTGATTCCTTACGGATAATGGTCATTTGAATTTTTACCGACTTTTTCAGCAATTCAAAAACCCAGTAAAAAATACTGACTCCTGTAAAAAAATCTTAGTGTGTAGCCATGATTTTTGTGTCCTATTCAACGCCCCAGAAACACCAATGTTGCCTGCTGAGCCGTTGATTGAGCATGATCATAAGACATCAGCGCATTGAACCATTGATAACTTTCGATCCTTGCATTTGATCAAAAAGTGGTCTTGAGCAAAGTTGTAGCTGGGAAAATTTCCTACAAGTACAATTGAAAGTTTTTGAAGCAGACCGATATTGTGAATTATTAGATAGACATGAACAAAAATCTTGGTTTTACCATAGTAATTCCCATACAAACTTCAAATGGTTTGTGCCATCTCAGTTTCTCACCTAATGGGGTCAAATTTTGAGAGGTTAGTCAGGATCCGATTTGGAATCGTTTAAGTATTGTGGAGCGAAAATTTAAAATTTTGCATCACTCTAGTGTATACCCATGCTGATTTTGGTTTTGATCACCACCCAGTAACTTTTGAAATATCCCAAGAAATAATTTCTAATCCAACTTTCAATTACCATAGAGTTGATTGGGAGCAATATCAAACATATAGCTTCTATCCAAACATTCCTTTGCACACCAAAGACGATGCGTAATAACCTTTTTTCTTGAATCTCTGACTACTTCTATAGTTGAAGCAAGAGCTGCCTCAGTACCAAAAAGCGAGGTTAAATTCGAATCAATTATAATAGACGACGATCTTCAGCTGCTGATCCGTCTGAATAATGTCCGTAGGAGGCAATTTCAGATAATGCGTGATCCTGCCATGTAAGTTATCTGGCGGGATTTGCAAAAACAAATTAAAATGCGATTCTCTGCTCTGAGGAACAAAACATTTTAAAATAATGTTTTGGAATTAGACCCTTTTAGAAACTCACAAAAGTTAAAAAGAAAAAGTCAAAAGCCTAATCCAGCGCTTAAGGAAGGTGGTAAAATTTTGATCACAAATTTGAATAAAAAGCTCCAAAACTTGCTAAGCAATTCGAGAGTTCCCATAATTTCAGTTTGGGTCCAGGCTTGCTTCCACTCACTTGCTATAAAAACAAGATTTTCTGAATTTTGGAATCATTAGATGTTAAAATGATATTTTGTACTTGTGAGATACAAGAAGAGGTTGAAATGCAATTGTTTGACATATGAAACCTGTCATATTTGCTTTCAGATAGTCACAATCAACGATTTTACGACTCGCGAGCGCTCACTCTGAGAGAACGCTCACGAATCATAAAATCGCTTATAGTAACACTGTGGTAGCGAAATTGACAGGTTTTAAGAGTCAAACACTTGCCTTTGATCTTCTTCTTGTATCTAACAAGTACAAAATATCATTATAACATCGAATGATTTCAAAATTCAGAAAATCTTTTTTTTTATAACAACTGAGTGGAAGCAACCCTGTTTGGGTCTTACTAATCCTATTGAGAATCACGTTGCTCGGGCTTCAATATTTTCTCTCGGGAAAATAATTCTGATGGTTCCTGGGGGACTGATTTAGACGACTTAAGATCTATAACAAAAAAAAAAATATCAAAATATGAAAGCTCCAGGTGATGATGGAATTTTCTATATCCTCATCAAAAAACTCCTAAAGAGAACATTGTCTCTCTAGGTAAATTTATTTAATAGATGTTCCATTTGGCATACTTTCCTGATAAATGAAAAAATTCAAAAGTTGTTCCAATTTTGAAGCCGGATAAAAATCCAGCTGTTGCTTCTAGCAACCGTTCAATAAGTTTGCTTTTTTTCAATAAGTAAACTTTTTGAAAAGATAATTTTAAATAGAATGATGCTTCACATCCATAGGAACTCAATTTTGCAGATGAGCAGTTTGGATTTCGCCATCAGGGTCACTTGCCACTCACTTGCTATAAAAACATGTTTTTCGGAAATTATGCAATCATTAGATGATAAAATGATATGTTGTTCTTGTAAGTAACGAGAAGAGGGTTTAAAGAATGTGTTTGACTCATAAAACCTGTCAATTTTGCTTTCAGAGCGTCATAATAAGCGATCTTATGATTCGTGAGCGTTCACTCAGAGTGAGCACTCACGAGTCGTAAAATCGCTGATTGTGACGCACTGAAAGCAATATTGACAGATTTTATGTGTCAAACACATACTTCACGTCCTCATCTTGTAACTTACAAGTTCTAATTATCACTTTACCATCTCATGATTTTATAATTCTGAAAAACATTGTTTTATAGCAAGTGAGTGTAAGTAACCCATTTAACATTTGGCATTTAACTACTCATCAACTCTTAAGAGCTACCAATTTAATTCGTTCAAACACTGAAGACCACTCAACTGGAGTTGCTCTTCTAGACATAGAAAAAGCATTCGACAGTGTTTTGCATGAAGGTTTGATTGCTAAATTGAAATAGTTTAATTTTCCACTTTATATTATGAAATTTGTTCAAAATTATTTAATTGACAGAGCTTTGCACGTAAATTATCAAAATTCCAAATCTGAACGACTACCTGTTAGAGCAGGAGTTCCTCAGGGTAGCATTCTTGGGCCTATATTGTATAACATTTTCACTTCGGACCTCCCTGATTTGCCTCAGGGATGTCACAAATCTTTGTTCGCTGATGACATAGGCATTTCCGCTAAAGGAAGAAGTCTTCGTGTTATTTGCAGCAGACTGCAGAAAAGTTTAGATATCTTCTCTTCTTATTTTCAAAAATGGAATATTTCTCCTAACGCTTCCAAAACTCAACTTATAATATTTCCACATAAGTCTAGAACTTCCTTTTTGAAACCTAATAGTAGTTACTTAAAGATTGTACTCGAAAAAAATGAATAACTTTCTTTTGTGTATAACCATAGAGGAAACTCTAAGACCAGAAGGTCCCGAAGAAACGAGCTCAACTTTTTGGCTCAGCTCTGGTACTATCTTCGGTCCCAAGCTAATCGATTCATCCCTCGAAACATAGGAAAATTCACTAATCCCTCATTTTATCTGTCAAACTTTCATAGCGAATCAAAACAAACATAGTGTAGTAATAGAATTTCGACTAGAATGGAGTACGTTAATCGATTTGCTTGGGACCATTAGGCTAGTCAAGTAGTGAGCCAATTTAAAATCGTTAGGTTCGTATTAATTGTTGGTATAACTTTTTATTGCATGTGTAAAAATTGATGACATTTTGAGTAAAACTAGTTGAGTGTGTAATGTAATGTAATGGCTTCCAAGTAAGAAGTGTTTCGACAAAACTTATGGAAGCGGTCGTGGAAAATCCAGACCAGTCCCACAAGTGGATCGCGAAACAGTTTGGAATCGACAATTCACCCGTGTCCCGTTGTGGTAAAATCATTCAAGGAGACCCAAACGACCCAGCGGCAGCGAAAGAAAAGCGAAGGCGACCGACCCCGTCAAAGCAAGGAAGTTGAGGGATTACTTCAAGCGCAATCCGATCCTTTCGATTCGGGACGTGGTCAAGAAGGTCAATTCCTCCGTCTAGTTCGTCCAGCAGACAATGAAGCGGGTCGGACTTCATGCCTTTAAGGTAAGGAAGGTGCCTATCCGAACCGATAAACAGAATATGGTGACCGAATCCCGCGCCAGGAAACTGTACCGCGAGTGGTTGGTGTAGCCAAAATGCATCGTAATGGACGATGAGACGTACATTAAAGCGGACGCCAAGCAGATTCCCGGCATAGAGTTTTTCTTCGGCAAGTCCCGCATGGATGTTCTGGAGAAGTTCCGGAAGAAGAAGGTTGTCAAATATGCAAAGAAGTACCATAGAGGTTGTAACGTTTTACGTTTATTTGTTAATAGTTTTTCGTTGAAATCTAATTTAATTAACAATTAAATCCTTTTTATGTCAAGTTTGCTAAGAAATGAAATATTTCAGCCGTGTAAATAAAATCAGACCATTACTGTGTCGATTTTACAACTTCGCCATAAAAGCTCAACTTATAGTGAGCTGTATTACATTGTACATGCTTTCTGGAGGCGCCATGAGGTCCGTCGCCATTCGAAAGGTTTGGCGCAACTCTCGAATGAAGAGGGAGTTTTTAAAAGATGACCTATTTGAATAGGGAAAGGTCGTTAGGAATTTTCCTGCTTGCCAAATTATTCTGACTCATCCATTTCGTTTTCGAATCGGCTGGATAACAGAAGTGCGCGAATTACTTTACGTTCTCGAATTATATTAAATCAAATTGATTTTGTGCGATAAGTTTCTCTAAAGGTACTGAATAGTAGTGAGTGAGTTTTTATCAACCAGTGGTTTTTAAAACGTTCTCTTTCTTTTTGTACAGTGGACATAAGTCCGTATTAAGTTCAGCGTAGTCTGTTCAGTGCGTTTATTTGTGAAATTGTACAAAAAAGGTAATTTTATAGAATTTTGTTAAAATTTAGAATTGTATAAGTAATGTGAGTTCGCGTTGGATTTCCAGCGCTTTGCGCTTTTTTTGTACGGGCTGGATATACGTTCCGTTCGGCTATCGTCAACGCCGAATCGGGGGTTCCATCTGTGGCATCGCCATCATCGTTCGTGGGAGACGGACATTTCCCGTGACTCGTGCGCCCTGCTAACCCGGAAAAAAATAACCAAAATTACCATAAAATAAAATACAGTTACAAGTAAATCTATTGCCAACAATCGATCTTATTGTGTGTATATAGTACACGAAGTTTTAACATATTGTTATTACAATAGATGTACAATACGTCCCATATAGTAAGAGTTTTCAACAATAGAACAACAATACAATTAATGGTAAATGGTTCAAGTTTGTTCGGGAAAAAGTGATTTTTCGTATGGTTAAGATACATAACGACCCCCTTAATCTATTGTATATTCCCCCATTTACCATTGATTATATTGTAGAAACAATACATTCTACTGTTATTTTATCGTTGTGGAGAATACGATTTATTGTAAATACCATAAACTCTATTGTAAGGCTACAATACATTTCATTGTACCTCTACGGTTCTTTTTTTTACGGGAAGGCCCGCCTTTTCGAAGGTAGCTAAACGGAGGTGGGTGAAGTTCGCTAATATTCGAAGTGAAATATCTTCCGACGGTCGCCAAACATCCGTCGACGAGGTCCCTTCCACTACAACCCCGTGGACCATTATTTCCGAGAGCTCGGACCGTGTGAGCGCGTCGCCAAAAGCGTACCGCGGTCCGGATTCAATCCAACGGGAGAGGGGGTTCATTTCATCACGGATGGTCATAGCGGAAACAAAGTACCCGAAGCCGTCCGAAGGTAAGTTGGCCTCTTCTCTTTGCGGAGCGAATCTCCCGGGACAGCACGACTTCTCGTCGTAGCTCAGCTCTCGATTGCCAAATCGGAAGTCTTCCGTCCAGCCGCCACTCCCTCCGCAACTCTAATTCGGCCATACCGCGTACGAGTCACCTTCCGTTGCTGCGCGCCATACTGCAGCATGTGAGCGGCACCATCACGTTTACGCCGCCATCGCTACACCGCCATCATCGAGTCGTCGAGCCCTCATCGGACAGCAGTCAGCGATTCATCACTTCGTTAAGTAAAACCTGCGCAGGTATGTGAGAGCATGTTTAATTCATGGCCATGATTTGCTATTTCCCGTAAACCCCTCTCTGAAATCCAATGCGAATGAATGCTAGAATATAGATTAAAGAAAAAGTTGAAGATTAGTTTTTCGAACGTTTTGAATGCTACTCCCTGAATAAAACACACTTACTACGTTACGTTCTGTTTTCTTTCTTTTCCGCTCAGTTGAGTCAGCATTCCTTCGTTCTCTTTCCGTTTCGGGGGTGAGTGAGAGTAATACCTTTGGTTTATTTATTTGGTTCATGCGCTCCATTCCTGTATTACTGAAGGACTTGGCATTTCCAGAAAGTTAATAGTTTTTTTCATTGCCGTTAGTAACCAACGACCGTTCAAGAGGTCCTCTGAGAGAAAAGTCTCATTTGTCGGGCAAAGCTTTAACACGACCAGTGGTCTCTCTTAATAGAGAGTGGCGCTTAAGCCACTGAGTTAAATCAAAACCTCAGCGAAATTTCACGAACGGTTACAAGGTAGGTCCCGAAGAAACGAGATCAACTTTTTGGCTCAGCTCTGGTACTATCTTCGGTCCCAAGCTAATCACCCAAGCACCCCTCGAAAATGAGAAAATTCATGAACCCTTTATTTTATCTGTCAAACTTTCACAGCGAATCAAAACAAACATAGTGTAGTACTGGAATTTATACTATAATGGGGTACGTTAATCGATTTGCTTGGGACCAATAGGCTAGTCAAGTAGTGATCCAATTTAAAATCGTTAGTTTCGTAATGATTGTTGGAAGTACTTTGTGTGGCTGGTGATCTGTGGGTGCGGCAAATTCAGCAAGCCGTACATAGCCACCGGCACCATCAACGGCCAAAAATATAAAGAAGAATGCCTCCAGAAGCCCCTGCTGTCCTTCCTCCGGTCCCACGAAGGTAACATCTGTTTTGGCCGGATCTGGCATCGTACCGCGAAACCGGTGATGGAAAGGTACGGTACGGTTTTGTGCCGAAGGAGGCAAATCCGTCAAACTGGGCGATTATGAAGGGCAAGCTCCGGAAAACAGGGAAGGTCTTCAAAAACGACAAGAATTTGAAGAAATAGTGGATGAAAGTGTGTAAGAAAGATAACACAAGTGTTGCACAGGATTTGATGGTAGCGTTAAGTCCAAGGTGCGGGCATTTAGCCTAGTAGAGGAAGCTGAATAAACCAACTTTACAAAAACATATCTAATAGGGGAAATGACGGCTTCGGCATGACAGACTATTTTCGGCAACCCAAATTGAAACACTATTTTCACTGGATTTTCTTACGAAAACACTTAGCTGAATGCATACAAACGATTCTTTATGCTTTCAGCTTCAATTGGACTATATTTTTACCACTGAGAAAAAGCAATCTAGCAAGGTTTTCTTGAAATGCAACACACGCACTACAAATTGTAGCTGATTTCGAGTTGCCGATAATAGAACAGTAGATTTACATGCAGTTCAAATGGAACGGTTGCCGAAGAAAAACTGGTTGCCGACAATACTCGCTCTCACTAGAGAAGATTGGAGCTTTGTAAAAGCGTTTCAAAACAGTTTTTGACAATTCTTTCGACTGAAATTGTTAGAGCAGCTGGCAGCAAAAGATTGCAAACAAACCAATACTGAATATGTGTGCGTTCCTTAGAGAAAAAGGCTATAGAAAGAACGTCGCTGCTTAGGTTGCCGAGAATACGTAAATTCCCCTATGTGTTTATTTATTTCCTGAGAGTTTCAAAAATATCCGACTTAAAATGAATTTTTGGTCATCATTTTTGTATTTTGCATTTTTTTTTTCGAGGACAGTCTTTAGTCACTATGAACGGAGTTCCAATTTCTTGGTCAAGTCAAGTTAAATATTTTGGAGTTGAGTACTTGGCACTGATAAATTCCAAGCATGGGAAAAATCGTTTCATTTTGCATTTACTACTCACTCCCACGCATACAACATCAGAAACGAATAGCAGCTTGTGCGAACCGCACTGATTCCGTTCGTATTTGCATTGCTCCTATTTTCTTCGATAAACGCAGAATTGAGCAAAACAGACAGCTGAGCGTAACATGAATAATTCTGAGTGTGGATGATTCCTCTCTTATTATTTTTTCCATGCTGGGCATTTTACGATTGCATTCTGCTGAGTGAGCTGAATGAGAATTTTGTAGAATGAATCACTTTTTATTTCTAGCTTTATACATACATTGACACATTATAATCGCTATTAAAATCGAAAAAAAACTGTTATACTGTAACACATAAACATAAGCGTCACGCAAATAACATAAAACTGCTGTGGCCAATTCAACTGATTTAAATCAGTGAGTCAAAAACTATCTGACTCGGCTATTAAAATCGTTAGCATTCGGATTTTACGCATTCAATCTGGTTCTCCCTCGTTAGAGAAAATTGTTCGGCTGCCTTTCAGTTTATCCTTCTTTCCTTCTACTGCCAGTTGCCAGTATTCCAGATTTATCTGGATTTTCCAGATTTTTAGTCGTCTTGCCAGATACACAGACAGACCACGTATATTTCCAGATATTTTAAATATGTTCCAGATTTTCCCAGATTTTTTAAACATGTTGCTTTAAAAATATCAGTGCAATTGATATACCCTCTAATCAAAAAATAAAAGGCAAACTTGCTACTTTAATTATTAAAGGCCATCAACGTTAGACATTATTGAAATTTAAAGGTAATTCTGAAAATAGTTCACAGTTAAGTGTGAGTCAAATTCTTTGTGAAATAAAAAAAAAAAAAAAAAATCAAGCTACTTATGAGTAGAATTGCATCATCTTTGTGGGCTTCGGGGTCGTGTGGCGTCACCCATCATTTAGGCGTATTGTGAGTGCCACGAAGTGAGGGTTCGATTCCCACTCCAGCCGGTGCAAATTTTGGCAACCTGAAAATTTCCCTACTGGTCTAATGAGTGTGGTGTGTTGCCCTATGTTTAGTGTTATATATTCAGTCTGTGCAACCTTTGGTTGAAGACGGTATCAATTGTCTTGTCAACACTGATGACAATTGCATGAAGATTTTATTATTAAAGGAAATACAATCCGGAAGAGAAATCATAGAAAATTCTTATGATGAAACTTAAAGAGTATGCTGATACGAATCGTGAGAATAATTTCAATGGAATTCTGTCCAATGTTTATATGGAGATTAATTTTAATAAAATTTTAGGCGCATTATCTGGGAGACTTTCAAAACCATTTTGGCAAAGTACTAGAGTACTTAGGTAATACTGAAAAGGATTTCAAAACAATGTTGACCTTACCTACAAAGCAGTTTAAAGGGAATTATCGGATAAGTCTGAGAAGAGTGTGACGCTCATTCTGAAGAGTGTAATCAAATTGTTAAGATTATTTTAAGAATTTCGTAGAGAAAAATGGACACAAAATTGAGACAATTCTTGGGAATGATTATCAATTTGAGGGAGTTGTGGAATTGGAGAGTGATTTATAAGAGATTACAAGAGGTAATGCTAAGAACTCTTTTAATGGTTCTCGGAAAAGTTTAGATATTTTCAAGATTATTTTAGGGGAATATAAAAAAGAAATATGATGGAATTCTACGATGATTCGAATTGAACTAAAAAAAAGGTGAAGATATCCTGTGAAGAGTTCCAAGTAAATTCGGAGTAACAAAAATGATTCATGATCTTGGACGCAGGAAAAATATGAATTCCGGATTTTAGAATCATTTCAAGATCCTGAGATTTCAAACTTTGATTTTAGTAAAATAATAAAATTATTCTTTGGCATAATGGTCATGCGTAGCATGCCGTAGTTTAGGTAAACTGTGTGTGAGTTCCACGATGTTAGGCTTTGATTCCCACTTCAGCCCGGTGAATTTTGCTTCAAAATAAAATTGCCTACTGGTCTGCTGGATGTTGTGTGTTGTATGATATCAAGAACTAAACTGTTAATCTGATCAACCTTAGAATTATTTAGAACTAATAAAATCTTTAAATTCTAGTACTGTATCAAATAGTCTAGTCTATCGATTAATAGTTAAAAAAAATCCATCCAGTTTTCTTGATTCTTAGCTTCTCTTTTTTTAAGTTACAGTTTAAAAAACAATTCTAACCATGTTTTCTGCTGTCTTTTACCCACCTTTAACTCAATTTTTAAATGCTGCGTAATGGATATTTAAACTTTTTGGGCACACCGTGTCAATACTTTTCAACTTTTTGATGATTTTAGCAATGCTAACAAGTTATTTGCTTTATTTAATTTATTTAAAAATGTAATTTATAATCATTCTAGTACTTAAAATAAATTCCAGATGATCATACTTATTATTAACGAAGTTTCAGATATACGACTGAGGAAATAATAAAACACTTGTTTCTATGTTCGTAGTCAAAGTACTAATGACCCATATATTCAACCTATTCATGTACAATACTCAAAACTCTGCTACTCTTTCATTTATGGCAGTCCCTCTCTGAGGTGACTGTCCATCTTACCGAACTATCGAAAAGGCTTTGCCTGTTACACCACTACAACTCCTCTATCCTTAAGATGAAATTTCAAATATGTATTCAGAAAATATTAAATTTAAAGTGATTCTCATATCAATCAAATTTCAGAATGCAAAACCTAAATTGTGCGCAAAATTTCAGAATATCCACTTCAAGTAAACTACGGAAAATGCAAAACCTTCGAAAACTAACTAATAGTATACATAATCATTTTTCTTCTTCTTCTTGCATTTCCTCTTCGATCGGCGATTACCGTCAGCCAAATTGTCGTTCTGATAATGGCTAACTGGGGCAACTTCCTCCCCCGAAAAAAATAAGAATCAGCAGCGAAACCGTAAAAATCAGAGCTAACGTCTGACCTGTCTGACGAATCCTCACAATCATCTTCTCGTCTGCGCTTGTTTCTGTTCTTTGCTGGTGGCTCGATAGGTAACAATTCATCGATAGGTAGTTCAATGGTCGGCAAAGAAACACTCTCTCCATGGAAAGCAAAAGTCCTAGGCGCTTTCCGGCGAGAGAC